TTCAGAACTTCGTATGGCCCCCATCAGTGACTTTGAGAGCATCAAATCTTTTCCGCATTGAGCATAACAGGTCGCTAAAAAGATCTGTGTCATCTTCAAGATCCTGGAGCGTATTCTCGAGATTAGTTTTGAGTGAATCGTAATTGTATCTGTCACGACGATCTTCATTTACCATTAATTCTTCAACGTTATCTTTGATAATTGCACCAAAATTTTCCGCAGGATTCATGTCAGGGCTGCTGCCTGGCCAAATTGAATTTCCCCAGAAATTCACGTCCTCACCTTCTAAAAGATGCTGTGTTGCATTGGCTTTCATACAAGGTGCCTTATCGTGAAGAAATATTACTTCGTCCGTATCAAGAACATTGGAAGGATCACGAAGAAATGGGATCACGTGTTGTCGAAGGATAGTATCGCGAAAATAAGTATCATCCCAAGATTGTCCATGTTCTTTTAGCACCCAAAGAAGTTTTTTAGCAGTAAACATGATGAATATGCGGATGCATGTTGCATTGTAAACCATTTCACGGTATCTTTCGTCACTGCTAATGTCTTCGATACTTTTTGCCCAAATTCGATCATTTTGATGGTTCAGTTTTCTTACAACATAAATATAAAATTCATCCGAAGGTGCAATATGTAAAAAATGTTCTTCAGTCCAATCAGCAACAAAATTTGCGAGCCACTTGCGATCTTCGATGTGTGTGTTTGTCTTCAATGGCTTGGCAATCACGTGGAAAGGTTTTAATCCTTGCCGTTGTCGTTCATTGTAAATAGTCACGTGACTTACCCGTTGTTTTGTTTTCTCTAAAATTTCTCTTGCAACTCTTCGACAGCTACTATTTCTGACACCACTTGCCGAAGCGACGATGTTTTTGCTCTCCTGCGTAAGCACCTGTGGTCGGCCACTACCAAATTCTGTATAACATTCTTCAATAGTTTTATTCCAATTGCGGCGTACCCAATCTTCACTACGACGTAGCTTCTCGGAAATCCAATGGCGAGTAATAATCGAGTCTCCTGTTCTTGCAATCATTTCGTCACGTATTTCACGGTATGTGACACAGCGAATTCTGTCAACGAATCGTTGCTCTTCCGAGTCATAAAGAAGATTAGCCATTTTGATTTTTCAATTAATGTACCACAAATTTTTTTAAACTGATCAGAAATTTCTTCAACGTCTAGCGTGATTAAGAAAATTACTTCCACGGACAACAGATATTCAGAAAGAGAATCAATGAAAACATGTTAAGATATTCTAACACCCAACCATTTTCTTCTCCCTGTATTCTCTTCTTATCTTCTCGTGCATAAATGTGTAATACATAGCTTTCTTTTTTTCTGTTCCTCCTTCTCGTTAACAGCCATCAACAGTAAGGCTTTTAACAATTCACAATAAACATGTTATCCAGCTCGCGCACGTACTATGTGATAGTTAAACATAGCATTAGTAAATGAGAACTTCGCAAAATACGTGACATATTACTCTAATACACTCTACATTTAATAAAAACTTGAAGCAATGAAAAGTACAACCTATCAACAGGCAATTTGAATATGTAAAAAGATTATTTGTATTATTTCTATTGACATGATACCGTGTTATGTATGACAAATTGATGTGTCGAACCTAGCATCGTAATAATTTTACAAACTGTACTTTCTCTAACTGTACCCCTAGACGCAGTTTTTCACGAGCTTTCATTTGGTATAAAATTGTTGGGGGTACTATCTTCTCTTAAGGTCGGGAGGGGGGGGGGGGCGTAATGGTTATTTAACACCCTGTATATGATCCAAATCAAGATGCAGCTAGGAAAGCAACTGAAAATTTTCATATTCCAAATGTATTCAATTCACTTGATGAACTTATTGCATTGGCAAAAAAACAACCAAACAAAGTCATCTATGATATAGCAATACCTGCTATAGAAATCGCTAACATTTTGAAACAGTTACCAAATAATTCATTTATTCTCGTACAAAAACCAATCGATGAAACATTGGAAGAAGCAAGAGAAATTCGATGTCTATGTAAGGAGAAAAACACACATATTGGGAAACAAATTAACAATAATTGAAATACATGTTAATACACATACATCATTTGAAAATTAGAAACTTTTAGAGAAGATGAGTTTATGTTACTTTTTCTTTTGAAAATACTGGAGAAACTGAAAAGAGGAATGGAAGTGTTATGAATTCTAGTTCGCATTTGGCGTCAAACAAAAGATTTTTGCATAATTTGCTAATATTTTGTTATGCAAACGAGATGTTTAAAAGAAGAAAGTTGACTTCAAGATGTGTCTGTTATGAATAAGTTTCATATGCTGACATATTTATAACCTCTCATACTCTTATCTGAAAAAATGAGTTGAAATCCGATTTTTTTCCTGTCTTTGTAGATTAGTGGCGTTCGAAACTGATTTTTTTGAACAATATTATTTAAGAATTTCTCGTTTCAGAAATTATAATTTTTTTACCTCGCGATGACAGAAAGTTTTTGAAGCTTACAGTTTCGTTGAATAACCTAAAATTATAATTTCCTGGAACAGAATTTCTCTGAAAAAAACAATACAATGCATTCAACCAAAACAATTCTCCCATGATTGTCTTTCAACATTTTTTCACAAGACTAAATCTTGACGATAGAGAACGTACATGATTTTTTTTTCTATATTTTTAAAGATTTTTCTGGCTATACCTAGTTATTTACGATCCTTTCATTCTTGATATAGCGTCAAAAATGTTTTCTACTTTTTTAGGTCACTCATATGGAAGTAACTTCTCACTCGGTTCATTACATTGATCTCTCATACGTGATATTCTTTCGCCATGGGAATCAACATCTGTTCAATGTCACTCATGTAAATATATTAATCAACCAAAACTAGATAGTATCCGTACACATCTCTCACTCACTTATGGAAACGATAATCCGCAACTCTTCGTTACTCTACATACAAATCATTTTCATATATGGGGTATTGAATATTCATTTGTAGGATCAATAGCTAGTATTATGAGAATGGCACAAAGAGAATCACAAGTGATTTTAACTTCTGAAGATGTGATACTCCAAAGACAATGTCTGTTGTTCAAGCTGCGTATCAAAGCATTTTAAATTAAAGGAAAATTAACTATGATAATTAGGACGATGATTCATAACTTTTCTGTAGTTTTATTTTATTTTTTTGTTTGAAATCTGATTTAATAAACATTGCAAGCAGACTAGCATATACGAATGTATCGAATGACGTTTGAAAAAGTTTGCAATAATAAACTCGGGTGCAAAAAACCTTTCGAATTATGATAGTTTAAAATTCGTTTACAAGTTTTGGATTTGTATGATTCAATTGAAATTCCTTGTTGTGAAATTTCTGAATTCAAAATTTTCACTCGTTTGCATGCGCTTGTCACAAAAGAAATTGAAGTACAATAAAGTACATACAGTATGTTAAGAATGGGTGTAGATGTTACTCTTCTCTTCATTTCCATCACAACTATAATCACTCACACGTACACCTTTCTCTAGAGAACATTTCATCATTTCTTGAGATATCAATCGAAGCAATCTTTTATTTTATTTAATATTTGAATAGCAGTAAGCAGAGAAGATAAATGAAAATAATTGTTTAGGTTAATATAATATAATAACGTAAAACAAAACAAAAAATATTTTTCAAGTAACTATAAAATGTACTGGAAAGAATGCAAGAATATAATATAATAATTGAAATGCTTTATTGATAAGTGTAAGATGGAACTTCAGTTACAATACCAGCATCATTTGTAACACATACGACACGTTTTGGATCGAACATTCGATTTTGAATTCCATTGATTGCATTATATGGATGTAAGCCTATGATAATGATAGAAACAAAACATAGACTTCAATGAATCTATATTTAAAGTCAATAATTAAACTTACTGTCATCATGTTGTAAAATTTTTTGAGATGCTACTTCGAATGGTTGTCCAACCAATTCAGGCCATTCTTGGCGTCCAGACATTATTTTGTAAAAATCTAAGAAAAGAAATACCCTATTTCAAATTAAAAACTTATGGCTTTCGTTTAAATTTTTCTTTGACATGATCGAAATGTCGCCAACGTTTCATAGTTAGGGAGAAAAACAGTCGTCATTCCCTTTATCTTACGCTTTTATAAATAAATAAAAAAATGTAGAAAAAAAGGAAAAAATAACATACTACCAAGCTTCTTTTTTTTCTATTTCAACTACTCTAACTTAATTACCATAGAAAATGAAGGTTTTTTTTCTGGTTTCTATCAAACGGTACGTAAATGAAAAAAAAACTGGTCTTTCTTTTTTTTTCTTTTCAATAACATGATTCGTTTACTCACACAAAATAAAGATATGTATGAAACGAAAACTAATATTAATTTATCTAGTTCTTATAATAGTACCTAAAAGGTTTTTGATGATAATTCATGACGAGATGTGCGATATTAGCAGTATCATTTCTATAAAAAATCACTGATTGATCGTCAATGTGACTTCAAAATATTTCGACACGTTTGAGGGTAAAATTTAAGTCCAGTTTATTTAACAGGAACAAACTAATTATAAACATATTCTTGGACGCAGATGGTAGTATTCCTAAATAACAATCTTCTTCTCATTATATTTTGAAAACAATCAGGTGAAATTGTTTTCAAAAGATTTCAATGAAAGCTATGAACAGATTTTGTCAAAATAATTTAATGCTTAGCATGATGTTTGCCATTTTGCTGAAAGTCAACGGCGAAATCTATACTATTCATACAACGTTACCAGATTTGATGCGATGAAAATAACGATTAGAATCAGGGCGAGTGACATTTCACAATTGAATATCAATCAATCTACATTTTTCACGCTTTCGAATGGTAGTGCTAATGACATAAACTTTTTTTTGACTAAATTTGATTTAGAACGAACGAATATAGGAACTATCTGAAACAAAACATATTCATCTTTCATTCAATTTTGATTCTTAACAAGAGTTATATTTTTGAAAAATTTAGTCGTGATCAGAAAAAAAAGATATTTTTCTAGATTTTCTGTACCTTCAGAAGTTATCTTTCAAATGCATTGGTTAATTTTCAAAAGTGTTCCATTAATTCAGAGTCTTTTTTTTTAAATTAAAATGCATGTGATGACATTTTATGTTCTTATGTTTGGTGTTACGTTGTTAACATTAGTTTCTGACTCATAAGCTCATTGAACAATGGTTTCTAGTGTTGATTTCCCTATTGAAGTTTATTTTTTCTTGTCTGAATTACGCACGCATGCACTTTTTGCTTGTTCTTTCTGTAAACAATTAAAAAAAGGAAGAGGAAAAGAATCGCTTTTGATATTTTAACCAGGGTTATCAGATGAAAAACTTAAAAATCAGAAAGAGTAACTATTTTCAAACAAATTGCTATCTTGTTGGCATTCTTGTACAAAATGCGTCACTTTTTTCTGATTTATCGATTCATAATTTTTTGTCCAAACGTATTTCAGAGCAAAACAAGACAACAACAATATTCTATAGCTTAGAGTAAAAGAACGTGTACTGTAAGCCAACGAGATCGATCATAGTCGTATCAAATAAACTCTCTCACTGTCAAACCAACAAATTAAAAATATGAGCTGCTAATAGTGTATACAGACTGAGATATTCGAGTTTCAAGAAATTTACAGTTTGTTATGTGTCCACACTACCAAAATTTCATCAATGCTCGGTTTTCTTTTTTCGTCATGGTTGAGTGGAGCACCACCATTTAGATACGAAAAAAAACAATATCACGCATATTAAAAAGCAGATTTTACAAAGTTGAAAACAATTTTTTTTAATTATAAAAGTAATAAACAAAAACTGTCGTCAAATTACTTTTGAAATATGTGTAATATTGTTTCTCCTTATGTAAAAGTGTTGGTGTGTGGTGTAAATATACTTTAAGAAAAAATATACACTCTCACTCTATCTAGCAACAAAAAAAAAGAAGATTTTTCTACCGTAAGGATCAATGAGGGTAGTTCAGTCATGGGCCGAAATTTCTGCAGTTGGATTTAGATAGCACAATGAATCTGAATACTCATATCAGCATCAAGAAAGGTTCGAGCAGATTAGTTGGGAATATTTATTTTCAGAATGATTTACAATAAATGTCTTCTAAAATGGACTAATGGCTACTCGAATATTTTCATTCTAAATTGATGCTCGATTTGTGTTAGCTTTTATAATGAATATGCTTTTTCAAAATATGAGCTTTTTGCTTGTTTTTCTTGTGTATATTAGTTAATGTTTGTATTGGGCTAAGAGCTCTGACGGTCTCCTAAATAGGCAAGTAAAGTGATTGGTTACATTTCATAAGGTATAACTCAAATACCATGCCTTTTCTCACACAAATCTTTTTTTTTTACCTTTTATATTAAAGAAAGCTGTTGCTGATCCTAAAACAGAAATTATTCATGCAGTATCACCAAACCCAATACTGATCGCAGAATACTAAATAGAAAATTTTGATAAGTATGGAAATATGAAACGTTCTCCGCTTCCATACTTGTATTTCTGTGATTGGCAATGATCCAATGTATTTCTAATCAATATGATATTCAACTTTGTTTCAACGATCAAAACTCGCATATAAAAACTCCTGTCGAATGCAAATTATGGCTGGACGTAATCTGTTCCAAAACTTGCCAAAGATAAATAACAGGCTCATATCATATTAGTTTAAAGAAAAATTACGATGATGGAGTGTAATTTTCTGTTGTTTGAGTTACTGCATGCACTAGCTATGCTATTTTATAAAATGAAATTTGAAAAAAGCTTTTTCCTGAAAAAAGAAATTATGTTAACTTTTTTCGTTAATGGGTGCCTACTTCAAAATTCTCGTAAGGTTTTCACTTTGATGAATAGTTAATGGAATCCATCGAAGCCTGGTTTACGTTTCCATTTTGATTTCTTCTATTCAAACAATCACACGATTAAAAAAAAAGCAACTGAGAGATGTCTACAACTTCTTCAAAGTGAGGCAATAAGCAAGTCATATGGTTTCAAATACTAACTGTAAAAATATATCAGAAGTCACTATTTTTTTTGTTTGGTGTAAAAGACAGTAATTTATGTATACTGCGGAACATTATTCAGTCAAAATATTCTCTGAATATCATTGTCAGAAATATAAATAAGTTTTTCCGTGTCTATAAGTCATTGCACGAGAGGCACAATCGATCGTGCTCAATCAATAATCTCAGATTTTGGCGAAAGTTATCTCATTTTCTAGAGCAAATTTTTATACTCGAAGGTTTAAATTTGACTGAGATACGCTCATCCAACTAATAGCACCCAAAATAGTCTTTTCTTCTATTATGCTTTATTTACCCTATGACCCTGAAAGGTTCTAAAGGGACAACCAATCCATCACAAAGAGATTACAAATAAAAAGAAAGAATTAAGAGTTAAGAATTAAAAGAAAAATTGGTCTCGCGACCACAGAGAACATAAAGCTGACGATCAGTTCAGACGTAGGGATTTGATATTCTTATCGTTTCGGCAAATTGACATTAGTTTTCTTTGGAGACGAACCAGCTGCAGTATCCAACTTTTTAATTGATTCGACGAACAGATAATGAAATTCATCCGGGACCGGAAGTACCTTGTTTTCCCGCAGGATAACGAATAATCGCAAGATATTATTGGTAAGGGCATTTATTTCCAGTTGATGATTGACAAATTTGGACTCCGTATTCTCCGCTTTGCATTGAGTGTACTGAACCGTTTGCTTTTGTACTTCAAATTTATCCCCCCAGGATTTTATCGTAGCTTCCATATCTCGCGTTTTCTGCTCGTTGATTTCGATTTGTTCATTCAAAGAATCTATACTACGTTTATTCTCAGAGTCCCGCTCGAGTATTTCGGTTTTGAACAATTCGAAGGAAGAACGAGTTTTCTCACCTTCCTCTTCCATTTTCTTTAGGATTTTATCTATATCTGTTGCATTTTGAACTGGAGGATGTGTGATAATAGGTTGCTGTGATGGAAGCAATGGAAAGTTTTGGTACAAGAGATTATCCATTTGCTGAATCGGGGGTTTGGCGAGCAGGGTTCGAGTAAGAGCTGCACGATAGTCCTTGACGATACGACATTTTGAGTCATTAGAACGATGAGCTTCTCCACAATGAATACATTTTGGCACCTCTGAGCAAGCATGATCCTTGATATCGGAACATTTTCCCCCACAAATTTTGCATGTCACCTGATCCTGTTGTGGGCAGTTCTTTTGAAAATGCCCGATACCCATACATCGAGAGCATATAAGGACGTTTGCCAATGCTAAGTATTCGACAACTTTATATCGAATATTGGCGATACCGATAAACTTATGCTCTATGATTTCGTTTCGTGTCTTAACTGATTTAATCTCGATTTTAACTAATTTGAGATGTTGCAGANTGAGTGAATCGTAATTGTATCTGTCACGATGATCTTCATTTACCATTAATTCTTCAATCTTATCTTTGATAATTGCACCAACATTCTCCGCAGGATTCATGTCAGGGCTGTTGCCTGGCCAAATTGAATTTCCCCAGAAATTCACGTCCTCATCTTCTAAAAGATGCTGCGTTGCATTGGCTTTCATACAAGGTGCCTTATCGTGAAGAAATATTACTTCGTCCGTATCAAGAAAATTGGAAGGATCACGAAGAAATGGGATCACGTGTTGTCGAAGGATAGTATCGCGAAAATAAGTATCATCCCAAGATTGTCCATGTTCTTTTGGCACCCAAAGACGTTTTTTAGCAGTAAACATGATGAATATGCCGATACATGTTGCATTGTAGACCATTTCACGGTATCTTTCGTCACTGCTAATGTCTTCGACACTTTTTGCCCAAATTCGATCATTTTGATGGTTCGGTTTTCTTCCAACATAAATATAAAATTCATCCGAGGGTGCAATATGTAAAAAATCTTCTTCAGTCCAATCAGCAACAAAATTTGCGAACCACTTGCGATCTTCGATGTGTGTGTTTCTCTTCAATAGCTTGGCAATCACGTGGAAAGGTTTTAATTCTTGCCGTTGTCATTCATTGTTAATAGTCACGTGACTTACCCGTTGTTTTGTTTTCTCTAAAATTGCTCTTGCAACTCTTCGACAGCTACTATTTCTGAAACTACTTGCCAAAGCGACGACGTTTTTGCTCTCCTGCGTAAGTACCTGGGGTCGGCCACTACCAAATTCTGTATAACATTCTTCAATAGTTTTATTCCAATTGTGGCGTACCCAATTATCACTACGACGTAGCTTCTCGGAAATCCAATGGCGAGTAATAATCGACTCTCCTGTTCTTGCAATCATTTCGTCACGTATTTCACGGTATGTGACACAGCGAATTTTGTCAATGAATCGTTCCTCTTCAGAATCATAAAGAAGATTAGCCATTTTGATTTTTCAATTAATGTACCACAAATTTTTTTAAACTGATCAGAAATTTCTTCAACGTCTAGCGTGATCAAGAAAATTACTTCGAGGGACAACAGATATTCCGAAAGAGAATCAATGAAAACACGTTAAGATATTCTAACACCCAACAATTTTCTTCTCCCTGTATTCTCTTCTTATATTCTCCTGCATAAATGTGTAATACATAGCTTTCCTTTTTTTTCTGTTCTTCCTTCTCGTTAACAGCCATCAACAGTAAGGCTTTTAACAATTCACAATAAACATGTTATGCAGCTCGCGCACGTACTATGTGATAGTTAAACATAGCATTAGTAATTAAGAACTTCGCAAAATACGTGACATATCNGGCTTTCATACAAGGTGCCTTATCGTGAAGAAATATTACTTCGTCCGTATCAAGAACATTGGAAGGATCACGAAGAAATGGGATCACGTGTTGTCGAAGGATAGTATCGCGAAAATAAGTACCATCCCAAGATTGTCCATGTTCTTTTAGCACCCAAAGAAGTTTTTTAGCAGTAAACATGATGAATATGCCGATGCATGTTGCATTGTAAACCATTTCACGGTATCTTTCGTCACTGCTAATGTCTTCGATACTTTTTTGTCCAAATTCGATCATTTTGATGGTTCGGTTTTCTTACAACATAAATATAAAATTCATCCGAAGGTGAAATATGTAAAAAATCTTCTTCAGTGCAATCAGCAACAAAATTTGCGAACCACTTGCGATCTTCAATGTGTGTGTTTGTCTTCAATGGCTTGGCAATCACGTGGAAAGGTTTTAATCCTTGCCGATGTCGTTCATTGTAAATAGTCACGTGACTTACCCGTTGTTTTGTTTTCTCTAAAATTTCGCTTGCAACTCTTCGACAGCTACTATTTCTGAAACTACTTGCCGAAGCGACGATGCTTTTGCTCTCCTGCGTAAGCACTTGGGGTCGGCCACTACCAAATTCTGTATAACATTCTTCAATAGTTTTATTCCAATTGCGGCGTACCCAATTATCACGACGACGTAGCTTCTCGGAAATCCAATGGCGAGTTATAATCGAGTCTCCTGTTCTTTCAATCATTTCGTCACGTATTTCACGGTATGTGACACAGCGAATTCTGTCAACGAATCGTTCGTCTTCCGAATCATAAAGAAGATTAGCCATTTTGATTTTTTAATTAATGTACCACAAATTTTTTTTAAACTGATCAGAAATTTCTTCAACGTCTAGCGTGATTAAGAAAATTACTTCCAGGGACAACAGATATTCAGAAAGAGAATCAATGAAAACACGTTAAGATATTATAACACCCAACAATTTTCTCCTCCCTGTATTCTCTTCTTATCTTCTCCTGCATAAATGTGAAATACATAGCATTCCTTTTTTTCTGTTCCTCCTTCTCGTTAACAGCCATCAACAGTAAGGCTTTTAACAATTCACAATAAACATGTTATCTAGCTCGCGCACGTACTATGTGATAGTTAAACATAGCATTAGTGTGCCAATAATGCATGGACATCCTTTCTTGTTCACATTATTCCAGTTCTGCCATTCTATACAATGAATACGCCTTATATACGCACACACGAGAGAGAGAAGAACAGAAAAAGATATGATAGACATAATCGCATTGCACTAATTACCTTTAAAGATGTAATCGTGTTACGCAAAGATATACGGATAACCTTAAGAAGAAAACCAGAAAGGTTGATGATAGTAGTGGATTATACAACACTGATTGAAAAGAACATATTGTATAACACACATCAGAAAGTATTCCTCCTTTCTGTATTACAACAAGAGAGGATAATCAAAAGAACGGAAACGCAAATATGTGAACAAGAAAGGATGTCCAAGCATTATTGGCAC